GTCTAATGCCTGAAAAACTCCCCGCCTAAAATTTTCAGAGACGGTAGATTATTAAATTTTGCATATGATCTAAAAAACATGAAGCAAAACGGATTAGAAATGACGAAGTTATCAAGCATTTTCTGTATCTCGTTAACAGAATTGACTGGGTGATTATATGACACCATGACACGACACCTTAATTGGGCACCCTTAACAATTCCCATAATTTTTAACGGGGTGGTTAACGGGGTCACCTAATCACGTGAATAGGTAAACAGATCACCTGATCACACGTAATGAATAAACTCGTTGTGCTTCGTATCTCGGTCATCTGAGAAGCTATAACTCTAATTCTTTCAGGACAAACGTAATTCGAATGGCCAAACACAATTCAGTAAAATTTAGCTTGATCCGACTATCCAAATTATCAAATAAATGAAAAATGAACCTTCATTTGAAAAAAATGTATTCGAATATTTTTCGATTTGACAAATTCCTCGAACCAGTGGTGGTAGTAAGTCATAACAGAAAGAATTATTTCAATTGGGCACTCATTGACTGAGCTATTAAGGGCAACGTTTGCCCACTGACTTTTGGCCCACCCTGTATTTACCCCCTATACTATTATATCCCCTTTATTGTTTTCCAGGCATTAAGACTCATCGAAAGTAGTTCAGCAGGTATATTTAAGTAAAAAACATTCTAATTCAATGCTAAAGATGACAGGAATAAGAAATAGTTATGTGGAGGTTTTTAAGAAATTTGCGCAAAATACGCGCCAGCATGTTATACGAAATTAGGTAAAAAACCCAAAATCACCATATTCAGGTGCCTTAAAAACCATGTTAAAATTGAGTTAGAGATCTGAAACTTTGCAGTCTAGACCTTGTCCAAATCGACTGTAAAAAATTTCATGTTTCAGGAGTATCGGGAAGTGGGTTTTCTGGAACCCCTGTTTTACAACAGATTGTCGTGAAGTATATAGATGTATATATGATGTCACTGAAGATTGCTGTTAACACATCCATGAAACTTATAGTTTGACGATAACATCGTTTACTTTGTACCGTTATTTCATGCTCCTAGCAACAGCTAGTAGAGCCCTTTTTTCTATAAGAGAAGAAAACCAGTTGTTATATATATATATATTTCGTTGCTGTACTCCTACACATTAAAAGTCGGTGTTGATTAGATCTTCGAAATTCTTTGCATCATTTATTAAACATCGTTATCTGAGATAAAATTGTTCTAAAAGCAACTGGAATATACACAAATCTTTAAAATAACTTACAAACTAGGAAAGGAAAACAAATCTTAGGAAGACGTACAAAACTATGTGACTTAAAACGGTACAAAACTAAAACATACTGAGTAATAATCAAACGAAAAGAATGGCTGAGTACATCTTATCTAATCTATTAAAAATTAGTTTCTCGGAAAAGGCTAGATTTCTCTGAATCAAACAGTAAAAATATTTAAATAGTAATGAATATAACACGTCTCTGATAGCAATATTGTAAACTAAACACGGGGTTATAGGCTCAGATCATGTTAAATAAAATAAATAAACTAAACACTAAGCTCCAGCGGATTTAAAAAGGATGTGGTTACTATATATATGATGTTTTTTAATAATATAAAAACCTAGCAACTTAGTTACAAAGTGGTGACCAATGAACTCTGACAACTGGAATGGACACCAGAGGTTGGATACTATTGTAGGTTAATAACGTTTGTTGGTGGATGTATATTGTATCTTTATTTATTAGTGAAGTGCGTAATAATATATCAATAAACCTTCCTATGAATCATAGGAAGGTTTATTGATATATTATTACGCAAAAGTATCAAATAGGAATCATAATAATAGTTTACCTGGGGACCTCGGGCTATTATGTTCATAAACATATTATGTTCATAAACATATTATGTTCATAAACAAGAGATTAGGCGGAATGACAGGCTGAGCGCGGCCCAGTAATGTTTATGAACATAAAAGCCTGAGGTCCCCAGGTAACGCCAAATAAAAGGCACACTCCCCAAATTGCGCGCATTGCTGTAACTTCATTCAAACTTCATGATATGAATCGAAGAAAATTATTTTGCAATTTATTCAGAGTCAATATATGCACTTATACAAATCACTTGGAATACTTTTGAAAGAGAATAACAAGCTCAAAAACGCTACTGACGTATTTCTCCATAAAAAGCACAATAGCGTGAGAAGCTTTTGTCGAGGTGCCTCGAAAGTGATCTTACGAGGCTCTTACGATTCCCCGTTCAATTTTGGTCGAAGAACGCGAACTTAATGCACAACCAAGGAAGTTATAGACATATTTCATACGTATCAAATTGGATGTGCTTTTGGCGGAGATATAATTAACGTGCGCCTTGACTGAATCAGAATCTGTTTCTTTTGTGGTGTATATGTATATGATGTGAGTGACAGGTGTAAAATGAAAAAAAGACATGAATGGCGGTTTTTCATAGGAATGTGTTGAAGTTTAAGTCCTGCCAGTTAATATTGTCAGGTTGGTGTTGAGCCTTCGTGATAGAATGCTTCAATCGGGATTTAATTGAGCCTAGTGAACCTATTTTACCACGTGCATTCGAATGCTCAAGAAACGTATTCCATAGATTCGCCCCTTTATATGCAAAGAAGAAAAAACTACAAAACTACACGTGTCTAATCAGTAGACTCTAATATTTGAGCACGTAAAGCATTCCATTAGAATTGGAGGCGAGCAGAAGACGCAGACCAGTCTGAGAAACTGCTAAACACTTCATATGCTGAGATCTGTGGTTGAAGAACGCATAAACACACTCACCTGCGGGTAATATAGTAATAGTATAACTATATCTTACTATATATAAAGCGAGACGATATATATATATATTTTGTAGCTGTACTCCTACACATTAAAAGTCGGTGTTGATATATATATATCTGTGCCATTTTACTGACACCACGGCATCAACTTTAACGCGACTTTCCGCATAACCCGTAAAAGATATACAACTGGAACTTTTTTGGCTGGGTCAAATGCTTTAATGGCCTTCAAATCAGCATGAAAAAATAAAAAATTGGCCAAGGAATAATTATTTTAGAGCCGAAAATTTGGACCCCCAAGTGGTGTCAAAAACGCCAATTAAATAGGTAATAATTATTTTAGTATTTTGAGTCTTGACACCGTTTAGGGTTATATTATACGGGTTCCTGCTAGTTATAGTAACTAGCAGGAACCCGTATAACCCTAAAATGGCGTCAAGACTCAAGAGACTAAAATAATTATTACCTATTTAATTTGCGTTTTTGACACCACTTGGGGGTCCAAATTTTGGGCTCTAAAACTCCTATTCCTTGGCCAGTTTTTTATTTTTTCATGCTGATTTGAAAAGCATAAAAGCATTTGACCCAGTCAAAAAAGTTTCAGTTGTATATCTTTTACGGTTTTTGCGGAAAGTCGCGTTAAAGTTGATGCCGTGGTGTCAGTAAAATGGCACAGATATATATATATAATATAATACTTTCAACACTACTATATAACAAATAATTTGAGATAACGATGTTTAATAAAATTATGCAAAGACTTATTTCGAAGATCTAATCAACACCGACTTTTAATGTGTAGGAGTACAGCTACAAAATATATATATATATCGTCTCGCTTTATATATAGTAAGATTACCATATATAATATAGTTTAGTATAGTAATAGTATAGTATACTGTATAGTTTAGAAATACAGTTGTCAAATCAAATAATCTGAAACATTTGACAGCAAATGGTACCCCTGCCAACTTCACGTTCTGTCGATGCGAAAAAACATATTTTGGGGTACAAAAGGCTTCAGGGGGTGGGACCAATAAACTGTAGGGGCGCAAAAAAAGACCTGACCTTTTTGAGAAATAGGTAAGTGTTTTAAGGGCGCCAAAAATTCAGGCGGGGGTTCTTGGGGGTCTCTGGGGTTGCAAGGGTTTCTGGGGGTTCCAGTGGCCGGGGGCAATGGTAGCGTTCCACACCCACTTCTCGACCACTAACCTGTCTTCATATCAAACAGTCTGACAGTTCCGTCTCTACTCCCCGTAACCAGGTGGTCCTCTATAAAAGTGCCAGTCTCTACTTGTGCCTGGTGGCCGAAGAAGCTGGTGACTGTATCCTTCCCGTCTTCAGAGTACAAGTACACTCCACTTCCATCTGATTCGGAGGAGGAATGGTGTTTATAAGGATGAGGAATATTGTTTATGAGGAGGAGGAATAGTGTTTATAAGGAGGGGAATAGCGTTTATAAAGAGTAATAATAATTGAAGCACAGAACTGAATATATAGGACTACTATTTCTAAAAGATAGATAAGAGAGGTTGTCTATACTTACTCTCTACAACGAACTGATAAGAGTTGGGCAGGAATGCAGTAAAGTAGCACCCACTATCTACAGATATCCTTGTTTCCCCCGTATCCAGGTCCAGTATCATTGCACCTGAGCGTCCTCCTACAATTCCAAGTTTGCTGTCGTGAGATACTCCGCAGGAAAACATAGGCGCCCCGTAATTGTTTACCACCCCGTAAATGTAGCCACTGAAATAAATTATCTAGGAGACCTCAAAAAATTGTAACCAACAAATCAGATAATGTGAGATCAGGTGACACATCAGATGGCTCACGGACAACTAGGAACCTTTCAATTTTACCTAGTTAACTAATTAACATGCAAGCTTGGGAAATCCAATCAGCTCCGACAATTAGGAACCAATCATGACATATCCCCGACAACTAGGAACCTCTGGAGATACCTAACATAATAATTACATACAGAATACATTACTCAATATCAATCTCATGGCCGAAATGAGAGGTTCCTAGTTGTCGGTCACCGGTTATCACCCCAACAGAGTCTGATATCAGCTCCAGCTCTGTAACTCTGTATCTAGGAGACCTCAAAACATTGTAACCAACAAATCAGAAGAATAATAATACAGCGACAAGTTATCCTAGCAAGTTTTATGGCAAGCTTAACCTACTCTTTTATAAGGTGCTCCGTGGCAGAGCTCGGATCTGAGCAGTTCCACACAAAAGCCTTGCTCAGGTGATCGTTCGTCATGTTCCTACACTCGGTCACTAGGAACTTGCTGCCATCAGGTGTTATCTTCAGATCAGTGGTGGAACCATCCTCACTCTTTAGCACTGAGGTGGTTCTACATCAGCTGTGTTGAAATGTTAAAATTAAACTAGTCAATATTGCCAAAACTTCCTAAACACAATGAAATATTTTATAAACTACAACAAGAGACATACCCTCATAAGATTTCAGTAGTTCCAGCTGGAGGTTATAGACGAGAACTCCCATTCTTGAGTTTAAAAACAGACACTCCCCATCAGGATGGAACTCTCCTTTAGATCTGTCGAAACCCCCGAATTCTACAGACCTGACCACCTTGAGATCCGTGGAGTCCCACAGTCTGCATTGGTTATCTGTGACTGTAGCGAACAGTTCCTCCCCTACACTGAACCCTACCCACTGCACCTCCTCATCTAGCTCCTGTTTACAGGCGTCTACATCTCCAGAGGAGGGCAGGCTCCATATAATACTTTGGTCGCTACCAGAGGAGAGGATCATTCTACTTACCCCCGGCACTGTGGAAATCTTGTTAACACGATAAGAGTGTCCCTTCAGTTCCCCAACCTTCTCACTCTCCTTGTTGTAGATCTTGATACTCTGAGAATCCCACTCAGCACAGTAGATCAGAACCCCGTCCACACTGTACTTCACACTCGTCACTCCCACATTGGCACGCGTCCACCCACTCGGACGAGGCAGCTCCACTTTCCTCAGTATCTGCAGACCCTGCTCTGTTATCTCCCACTCAACTACCTCCAAATTATTGTTACCTGATATAACTAGACTCTCTGTCAGGTGACTGTCTACACAATTTATATATCTACTGTCATCTGATCTACTGAAGAGTTTCTCCCCGGAGTCAGGGTCCCACACAGCAAGGTACCCTCTGTGTGAGCTGATGAGTTTGTGGGTAGCCGTGTTGTATGAGTGATGGTAGCAATTGTCCTCGCACCCCCAGCTCCTCACTAGACTCAAGTTCTCTGGATCCAGCACCATGTACTTGTTACTGTAGGAAGAATATTTTGCTTTCCTGGGGTTCCCGGACCCTGCGATAACCAGCCCTGCTCTGTCAGTTCCAAGCCAGGCAATACAGCAGTAGCCCTCTCCCGCCTCACTGCTGCACTTGTGGGCCCCGGAGTCCACATCGTAAGAGTGCACTACTCCCTCCCCATCTCCCACAAATAGGGTCTCCTCCCCCTCTGCTAGGTGGACTGACTGGGCACTCACTGGCACTCGTATATACCAGCGTGGGATTCAGCTGCTATCACAACAACATCTTTTGCTACCGAAGAGGCTACACAGTCCACACCTGAAGAGGGGATCTTCACGGAGATAGGGTCATCAGCAGCAGGAATGTTAGCCCAGAAGAAGGGGTACCCAACCTGAGGCTCCGGAGCAGACAGGAGCAGAGTGTCCTGACTTACTACGGAGGTAGGGGCCTGGTTAGTGGCCATGTTGTACAGGAGCAGAGTGTCCTGACTTACTACGGAGGTAGGGGCCTGGTTAGTAGCCATGTTATACAGGAGCAGAGTGTCCTGACTTACTACGGAGGTAGGGGCCTGGTTAGTAGCCATGTTGTACGCGAACTGAGGAGCAGACAGGAGCAGAGTGTCCTGACTTACTACGGAGGTAGGGGCCTGGTTAGTGGCCATGTTGTACAGGAGCAGAGTGTCCTGACTTACTACGGAGGTAGGGGCCTGGTTAGTAGCCATGTTGTACAGGAGCAGAGTGTCCTGACTTACTACGGAGGTAGGGGCCTGGTTAGTAGCCATGTTTTACAGGAGCAGAGTGTCCTGACTTACTACGGAGGTAGGGGCCTGGTTAGTAGCCATGTTGTACAGGAGCAGAGTGTCCTGACTTACTACGGAGGTAGGGGCCTGGTTAGTAGCCATGTTGTACAGGAGCAGAGTGTCCTGACTTACTACGGAGGTAGGGGCCTGGTTAGTAGCCATGTTGTACGCGAACTGAGGAGCAGACAGGAGCAGAGTGTCCTGACTTACTACGGAGGTAGGGGCCTGGTTAGTAGCCATGTTGTACAGGAGCAGAGTGTCCTGACTTACTACGGAGGTAGGGGCCTGGTTAGTAGCCATGTTGTACAGGAGCAGAGTGTCCTGACTTACTACGGAGGTAGGGGCCTGGTTAGTAGCCATGTTGTACAGGAGCAGAGTGTCCTGACTTACTACGGAGGTAGGGGCCTGGTTAGTAGCCATGTTGTACAGGAGCAGAGTGTCCTGACTTACTACGGAGGTAGGGGCCTGGTTAGTAGCCATGTTGTACGCGAACTGAGGAGCAGACAGGAGCAGAGTGTCCTGACTTACTACGGAGGTAGGGGCCTGGTTAGTAGCCATGTTGTACAGGAGCAGAGTGTCCTGACTTACTACGGAGGTAGGGGCCTGGTTAGTAGCCATGTTGTACAGGAGCAGAGTGTCCTGACTTACTACGGAGCTAGGGGCCTGGTTAGTAGCCATGTTGTACAGGAGCAGAGTGTCCTGACTTACTACGGAGGTAGGGGCCTGGTTAGTAGCCATGTTGTACAGGAGCAGAGTGTCCTGACTTACTACGGAGGTAGGGGCCTGGTTAGTAGCCATGTTGTACAGGAGCAGAGTGTCCTGACTTACTACGGAGGTAGGGGCCTGGTTAGTAGCCATGTTGTACAGGAGCAGAGTGTCCTGACTTACTACGGAGCTAGGGGCCTGGTTAGTAGCCATGTTGTACAGGAGCAGAGTGTCCTGACTTACTACGGAGGTAGGGGCCTGGTTAGTAGCCATGTTGTACGCGAACTGAGGAGCAGACAGGAGCAGAGTGTCCTGACTTACTACGGAGGTAGGGGCCTGGTTAGTAGCCATGTTGTACAGGAGCAGAGTGTCCTGACTTACTACGGAGGTAGGGGCCTGGTTAGTAGCCATGTTGTACAGGAGCAGAGTGTCCTGACTTACTACGGAGCTAGGGGCCTGGTTAGTAGCCATGTTGTACAGGAGCAGAGTGTCCTGACTTACTACGGAGGTAGGGGCCTGGTTAGTAGCCATGTTGTACAGGAGCAGAGTGTCCTGACTTACTACGGAGGTAGGGGCCTGGTTAGTAGCCATGTTGTACAGGAGCAGAGTGTCCTGACTTACTACGGAGGTAGGGGCCTGGTTAGTGGCCATGTTGTACAGGAGCAGAGTGTCCTGACTTACTACGGAGGTAGGGGCCTGGTTAGTAGCCATGTTGTACAGGAGCAGAGTGTCCTGACTTACTACGGAGGTAGGGGCCTGGTTAGTGGCCATGTTGTACAGGAGCAGAGTGTCCTGACTTACTACGGAGGTAGGGGCCTGGTTAGTAGCCATGTTGTAAAGGAGCAGAGTGTCCTGACTTACTACGGAGGTAGGGGCCTGGTTAGTGGCCATGTTGTACAGGAGCAGAGTGTCCTGACTTACTACGGAGCTAGGGGCCCTGGTTAGTAGCCATGTTGTACAGGAGCAGAGTGTCCTGACTTACTACGGAGGTAGGGGCCTGGTTAGTAGCCATGTTGTACAGGAGCAGAGTGTCCTGACTTACTACGGAGGTAGGGGCCTGGTTAGTAGCCATGTTGTACAGGAGCAGAGTGTCCTGACTTACTACGGAGGTAGGGGCCTGGTTAGTGGCCATGTTGTACAGGAGCAGAGTGTCCTGACTTACTACGGAGGTAGGGGCCTGGTTAGTAGCCATGTTGTACGCGAGCAGAGTTTCCTGACTTACTACGGAGGTAGGGGCCTGGTTAGTGGCCATGTTGTACGCGAACTGAGGAGCAGACAGGAGCAGAGTGTCCTGACTTACTACGGAGGTAGGGGCCTGGTTAGTGGCCATGTTGTACAGGAGCAGAGTGTCCTGACTTACTACGGAGGTAGGGGCCTGGTTAGTAGCCATGTTGTTCAGGAGCAGAGTGTCCTGACTTACTACGGAGGTAGGGGCCTGGTTAGTGGCCATGTTGTACAGGAGCAGAGTGTCCTGACTTACTACGGAGGTAGGGGCCTGGTTAGTGGCCATGTTGTACAGGAGCAGAGTGTCCTGACTTACTACAGAGCTAGGGGCCTGGTTAGTAGCCATGTTGTACAGGAGCAGAGTGTCCTGACTTACTACGGAGGTAGGGGCCTGGTTAGTAGCCATGTTGTACAGGAGCAGAGTGTCCTGACTTACTACGGAGGTAGGGGCCTGGTTAGTGGCCATGTTGTACAGGAGCAGAGTGTCCTGACTTACTACGGAGGTAGGGGCCTGGTTAGTAGCCATGTTGTACAGGAGCAGAGTGTCCTGACTTACTACGGAGGTAGGGGCCTGGTTAGTAGCCATGTTGTACAGGAGCAGAGTGTCCTGACTTACTACGGAGGTAGGGGCCTGGTTAGTAGCCATGTTGTACAGGAGCAGAGTGTCCTGACTTACTACGGAGGTAGGGGCCTGGTTAGTAGCCATGTTGTACAGGAGCAGAGTGTCCTGACTTACTACGGAGGTAGGGGCCTGGTTAGTGGCCATGTTGTACGCGAACTGAGGAGCAGACAGGAGCAGAGTGTCCTGACTTACTACGGAGGTAGGGGCCTGGTTAGTGGCCATGTTGTACGCGAACTGAGGAGCAGACAGGAGCAGAGTGTCCTGACTTACTACGGAGGTAGGGGCCTGGTTAGTAGCCATGTTGTACGGCGTACGCGAACTGAGGAGCAGACAGGAGCAGAGTGTCCTGACTTACTACGGAGGTAGGGGCCTGGTTAGTGGCCATGTTGTACAGGAGCAGAGTGTCCTGACTTACTACAGAGCTAGGGGCCTGGTTAGTAGCCATGTTGTACGCGAGCAGAGTGTCCTGACTTACTACGGAGGTAGGGGCCTGGTTAGTAGCCATGTTGTACAGGAGCAGAGTGTCCTGACTTACTACGGAGGTAGGGGCCTGGTTAGTGGCCATGTTGTACAGGAGCAGAGTGTCCTGACTTACTACAGAGCTAGGGGCCTGGTTAGTAGCCATGTTGTACAGGAGCAGAGTGTCCTGACTTACTACGGAGGTAGGGGCCTGGTTAGTGGCCATGTTGTACAGGAGCAGAGTGTCCTGACTTACTACGGAGGTAGGGGCCTGGTTAGTAGCCATGTTGTACAGGAGCAGAGTGTCCTGACTTACTACGGAGGTAGGGGCCTGGTTAGTGGCCATGTTGTACAGGAGCAGAGTGTCCTGACTTACTACAGAGCTAGGGGCCTGGTTAGTAGCCATGTTGTACAGGAGCAGAGTGTCCTGACTTACTACGGAGGTAGGGGCCTGGTTAGTGGCCATGTTGTACAGGAGCAGAGTGTCCTGACTTACTACGGAGGTAGGGGGCCTGGTTAGTGGCCATGTTGTACAGGAGCAGAGTGTCCTGACTTACTACGGAGGTAGGGGCCTGGTTAGTGGCCATGTTGTACAGGAGCAGAGTGTCCTGACTTACTACGGAGGTAGGGGCCTGGTTAGTAGCCATGTTGTACGCGAACTGAGGGAACTCCTTGATACCCGGTGTGTAGAGCTGGACAAACTTAGCCCACAGTTTAAAGGCTGACTTGTCTAGTGCGTTGGGAGCAGCTTCTATTGCTGACATGTACTCATTGTTAAGATTGTTATGCTGGTTAAACAGGATCCGCTCTCTTACAAAGTAGATATTCCTCAGCGTGAGTTTGAAAGTATCAAAAGACTGAGTAACTCTTGCCATCTCTACTTGGTGATGCACAATTTGGTTGAGTACGTGCTCGTAATAATCTGGAGTTCTCGCCTGAGGTTGGCTGCAGAGTTGGGGTTGGATGATCACCATGAAGAAGTCGCAGAACCACTGGTGGGTGTTTTGGGAGAATGTATCGTCCAGAAACTTATCCCTGATAGTGTATTTAAGCTGGTCGTGGAAGAACCTGAGGTAACCCCCACCCCCGGCCGCTAGAAAACTACTGACAGAGTCGTATATCCTGGAGAAAGAAGACTCATTGAGGAAACCTCCTTTCTCTCCCTGAACCATCTCCTCTTTGAACCTCAGTAGGTC